GAAGCTCGGATCCGGTCGACGATCCGAAGAACAAGGAGCACTCAACTACTATTCTCTAGTCTAGTCGTTGTTTTTTTCTATTAGTTTGCGCTTCCCTCTCCTTTCAGTCGAGCTACGATTTGACTGAACTTCGCTTCGAAAAGTTTGTAAGGTCGTCAATGTAACCAGGACTTCACTGAACAAGCAAGGGATTGAGCAAGACGCGCGAAAGCCGTTGCGCTAACGCGCATCCGTTTGATTGCTGCTTCGTCAATTACATCGAACCTTTCAGTCGAGACTCACTTCGCTCTCCTCTCCTTTTAGTCGAGATCTTTGAACCTCGGATTTCAGTCGAGCATCTGAAAACCTTCATCTCCAGGAGAAAAGCGGGAAGCAACTCACTCCACAATGGACCATGCCTGACCTTCTTCGATTTGTAATTGGAGACGAAGGAGCTCAAAACCCAAGCCTTGATTACGGACGGATATTATGACGTGGTCATGCATGGTCCCAGGAGTTGGGTTTGCGAAGAACTTCTAAGCGTGCTTGATCTAATCAATTAGAGTTCTTCTAGGTTTTTTTATCGCCCCCGGTTATAACATTTGAATTTTTCTTACATTCTACGTTCCCGACACGGATCCTATTAAATATTTTACATTTTCTATGATCATCTCTATTTCAGGTATTCGGGGAATCCTCCTTAATAGACGAAATATTCCTATTATGTCAATGCCAATTGAATCAATGTTATTAGCTGTGAATTCGAACTTTTTGGTATTTTCCGTTTCTTCGGATGATATGATGGGTCAATCATTTGCTTCATTGGTTTCAACGGTGGCGGCTGCGGAATCTGCTATTGGGTTAGCCATTTTCGTTATTACTTTCCGAGTCCGAGGGACTATTGCTGTAGAATTTATTAATAGCATTCAAGGTTAAACATGACTCAATGATAGTTACCAAAATACGAAGTTATCTTCTCCTTTCGTTTTCTTCTTTCTTTTTCTTGGTTGGCAGGGTCAGGGCCTTTCTCGCTGGGCGAGCACATCCTCTTCTCCTTCGTCTCCTCTCCTTTCGCTAAGAGCATATGTTATAACCTTTCCTTCACTTCGCTTCTAAAATGACTACTTTATCCTTCACTGAACAAGCAAGGGATTGAGCAAGACGCGCGAAAGCCGTTGCGCTAACGCGCATC